TATTTTTTTAAAAGATAGGACAGAAAATGACTTCTATACTTTTAAAATTTGCCCAAAATTTAGGAGGTCTTTAGACCAAGCCAACTATACTATTTTTTAATTAATTATTGGCTTAATTAAATGTAATTAAATTATTGGTTAAATATTTCTAAAGCTCTTTGTGCTAAAATAATATCATAATCTGAATAAAACAAATAAAGCAATTAAAGCAATTAAAGCAATTAAAATGAATAAAAGCAAATAAAACGAATAAAGAGAATAAAACGAATAATGAATAAACAAATAAAACCAAATAAAATGAATAAAACTGAATAAAATGTACATTCAGAACTTGTTAAGACAATGCTTTGATAAACCGATGTTGTTTTATTATCTACCTATCAAATTTACCTCAATGAGCTGATTTTATTAAGGTTTTTTAAATTGACTTTGTTTTAACGAGTTCTGACTGTATTACAAATAGAAACCATGCATTAATACTAAAATCAAAAAAACAACAATAAATAAACAAACAAATAGCTTTTATTGCAAAATAATTGAATTTGTTTCTTTATTGAATTGATCACACAAGTAATAGTCAATTTAAACAGCATTGTTTTCAAAGAATTTATTCAAAACAATATTATTTAATGTATAAAGTTTAATGATTTTTAATGTTGCATGTTTTTGATACATCAATCTCAGTCCAAAATCAATCATATTTTATATACTTTAAAGTTTCTTTATTTCTTTTTTTGATAAATAACAAATTTATCCTTAGTAGATTCAAATAGATTTTATTAAATCAAATGATACTAATACTAATACACCAGCAAAATTTTGGAGAAATAAAAATAAAATAGATTACTGCTATTACTATTACGTCAAATTCAAATCCCGTTAACACAATAAATGGATCACAGCATGTATGTACTAGTACATATTATTTTCCCTTTTTAAATATACACCAATCATAATTGCTCTTAATTTCCACCCAATTAAATTCATTCAAAAATGAAAATGATATCTTTGTAAAACTAAAGCTAAATTCTTTATTTGTATTTCTTTTGTCAAGATTTTTTATAATAAATTGAACACTGGCTTTCCATTCAAATGTTAAATTTAAAAAATATTAAATTATAAAAAAGCCACAAAGTGAATATAAAATTATATATAGGGATAAGTGTATATGAAGAGTAATAATAAATATAATGGTTCTAATGAATATCAAAAAGCAATTGATTTTTTAGAAAAAGGATGTAATTGTGGTTGTTCTTCAAGAATTCCCAAAGAATAATTTGCAGCATTAAGGGAATCCTTTCAAGCTCTTTCTAAAGTAGAACAAGACATATTTTTAATGGCCCAACTTAAGGCAATGGATGGGGGATTAATAAGCATCAGTAGATGCCTTAAAAAGAAAACTAGATCTAATAAAAGAATTTTCTATCACTGAGATCACAATACACTACTTTGTCAAGAAACTTATCTCAATATGTTAGGAATTGATAGGACTTATTTTGAAAATATTAGAAATCATCTGATAAATAATGATCTTCTGCCAAGAATTCATGGTAATACTAAAAGAATGCCTCAATGGAAAACTAAGATGGTGATTGATAAAAATGTTGCAAAGTGGTAAAAAA